TTAGTGTTAGTGTTAGTGTTAGTGTTAGTGTTAATAGCACGAGACTTAAAGGACAGTGTTGTTTCTGTTACAAAACACGCACGTTTCGTGTTAATTGGTGAAGTAACTTTACATGTGAGAACGACGAATATAATTTCTCTTTAATGGACAGAACGTCGAAATCTTCAACAAATAATTTTCATCTCATTTGATGTTTAGATCGTATTAAAATCAGTTTTAGTATCATCGAAAACAAGTTACGTAATATCGATATTTTTCTTAACGTAGACAAAAATTGAATTCTCCATCTTCCATTATCAGTAACTGAGACAAACGTTACCATGTTGGGAATCAGATGTTCGGGACAACGTCTCGTTACGATACTCGCGACGTTGATTCTATTCGTGCCATTCGATTACGTGGTTATTTTCCTGACATACGCTCTTTTAATCCGGGGTGTGGAGAACTTGAGGGAAGGAGCAAAGGCATACTCCTCATCGGCAGAGATGCGCGGCTTTTATCCGACTTTATTCCCGAAAACATTACTAAGTAAATCGAAAACGTTCTAATATGTAGACCGAACTGCTTCAAATTTTAGTAACAATTTCTTTACTTCCAATTCACGCATAAATGCATAAACTGAATTACTATCGACGATAAAAAGATATCTTCTTTTAAGACACCAATGAAACGTACCAGAACTATGTATTTCTATCAAAAAATTTCATCCGAAAATAGAAAATCGTATTCCTGAAATTCCAGCAAAAGTATAACGCGAGGATCGTCGAGAGGAAGGGACGAGGAAGGAAAAGAAAGGACATAACACAAGCGCGGCAGAAGGGAGAAGGGACGAGAATTGGCGCGGCATAAATTATTAGGCGCATATACAGTTATATGATTTCAAAATATTGCATTGGTATCACATATACAGGATGGTTGGTAACTGGTGATACAGGCGGAAAGGGGGTGATTCCTGTTAGTGTTAGTGTTAAAAGCACGAGACTTAAAGGACAGTGTTGTCTCTGTTACAAAAACACGCACGTTTCATGTTAATTGGTGAAGTAACTTTACATGTGAGAACGACGAATATAATTTCTCTTTAATGGACAGAACGTCGAAATCTTCAACAAATAATTTTCATCTCATTTGATGTTTAGATCGTATTAAAATCAGTTTTAGTATCATCGAAAACAAGTTACGTAATATCGATATTTTTCTTAACGTAGACAAAAATTGAATTCTCCATCTTCCATTATCAGTAACTGAGACAAACGTTACCGTGTTGGGAATCAGACGTTCGGGACAACGTCTCGTTACGATACTCGCGACGTTGATTCTATTCGTGCCATTCGATTACGTGTTTATTTTCCTGACATACGCTCTGTTAATCCGCGGTGCGGAGAACTTGCGGGAAGGAGCGAAGGTAGACTCCTCATCGGCAGAGATGCGCGGCTTTTATCCGACTTTATTCCCGAAAGTTCGTCCAGGTCATAAAGCGTGCGCGCGAATTTCGAGTTAAATCAAATTCGTCCCGCGAAACGGTCCTCCCTGGGAAGCGTTTCACGCACGCAAACGAGATTCCACGGCGACATTACCAATCGTTCATTCCGCACGGTGCACTATTCATGGGGTTATAAGGCCGCTTCTTCGTATCGCGAACACACGCGTGATCGCGGCGTGAGGATCGTCGAGAGGAAGGGACGAGGAAGGAAAAGAAAGGACATAACACGAGCGCGGCAGAAGGGAGAAGGGACGAGAATTGGCGCGGCATAAATTATTAGGCGCATATACAGTTATATGATTTCAAAATATTGCATTGGTATCACATATACAGGATGGTTGGTAACTGGTGATACAGGCGGAAAGGGGGTGATTCTACGCAAAAAAAGAAGTCGAAAATATAGAACAAACATTTTTTTTAATTTCCTTTTTAAATTTTTTTAAAAATCTACAGTGAGACCCGTTATAACGAGACGTGATAAAGTGCACGCGTACCGAGCGAAAATTCAAAG